GTTGCGGTTGCACCCGAGTCAAGAGCCGCATGGCTCACAGGGTTATACCTCATGTCCTGGGCCTCCCCTAGGTCGACTCAGCCTCAAACGAGTAAGTCGTGTGGTGGGTCAACATCGCCACTGGGGAGACAAAGGCGGCCGGCCGTGGTGAATCCAAGTCCCGGGCGAAGCCGGGTAGTAAAGCTATTACCTAATAAATGAAACTGAAAATGTCACAACTCCAGCCACGCTCCACACCAGTGGCACTGTACAGACACGTGTAGACACGTGTGTGTGGTCAGACACGTAGACACGTGTGTGTGTGTGCAGACACGTGTGTGGTCAGACACGTGTCTGTGTGTGTATTTATACAGACACGGGTATTTGTACAGTGAGAAGGCAACATCTTGTCAGGGGGAGGCACAATGTTACACAACTCAGACACGCGCTTTCACAATCCTGCGGGTGTCAACGTTCCTAAACCTGTGTTTAATTTAAAACAAAACTAATTCACCCTAACCCCCCCCCCCCCCAAAACTCTCTGCACGATAAAGGCTTCTCATCTCGGCCATTTGTTACGGGGGGGAAGGGGGGGCTTGTGGTCAAAGTTCAATCACGCTGGTCACTAACGGGGCTGGGAGAAATTGTCTGGAACCCTTCAGTCACCTGCAACTCACGCCGGCTGTGGCCGGGAATCGAAAAAAACTGATAAGTAATATTTAAAAATATTTTTTTAATAGAATATAGTATTGTCACCAGTATGACATCAGTATACCAAGTTTGCAGTCGATACCACATTGGTAAGTGGGTTAAAATTGAGTTACAAGATTTGAGGATACGACAACGACGACAACAACAGACAGAGTGAGTTAAATAAAAGCGTGTAAATAATAAAAAAAAAAACCACAGGGTTGGTAGCGCTACTACGACACCGCTCTCCACAGCAGCGCGACGCTGTTTCATCACCGTTCCTGTAACATGAACAGTTCAACAGTGACAAAGTAATCTCCTGCCCGGGTGAGCATTGCAGCGGCGCTCGCCTGATTACAACCGGTGGTGGAAATTCCACATTCCTATGGCGAGTGTCCGTATTGCACAACCACGATTATAACATAAATACTATCAGAAGATGTTTTTTTGTTTGCATGTTCACCACAAGTACGTGTGCTTAATAGGGACATGCTTCCTTGCAAAAGGTTTCAGTTTGATGTTTTAACATCTTAACACCTCCTGTTTTATTGCCAGAAAGGGTAAAACCTACTCTTATATTTTGATACTGGCAAGGGAGGTCCCGTGCCACTGTTATAACAACTTCCCCGCAAATTTTTCGGGCACGGTGATAACTTGCGTCTCGCAAGCCCAATGCGTGGGAAACCTTCACGTGTAGCGAGACTTCGCACAATTCTGGCATCGCTTTTCACATTTAAAACACCTCCCCGGTACAGGTTGGAAACTCCGACGTGGGCCGATGCAATCACGGAGATGAGAAGACGCGCGTAGCTTCCTCCTCTTCCTCCACCGCGAACGATGGCGGGGCCACTGAACCCCTAGGGTAGGGCGACTGTCCGCACGCCTACCTACCTGCCCGCCTACCTGCCTACCTGCCCGCCTACCTGCCTGCCCACCTCCCTGCCTGCCCGCCTACCTACCTGCCCGCCTACCTGCCTACCTGCCCGCCTACCTGCCTGCCCGCCTACCTACCTGCTCGCCTGCCTACCTACCTGCCCGCCTACCTGCCCGCCTGCCTGCCCGCCCGCCTACCTGCCCGCCCACCTACCTGCCCGCCTACCTGCCTGCCCGCCTACCTGCCCGCCCACCTACCTGCCCGCCTACCTGCCTGCCCGCCTCCCTGCCTGCTTCCCCCATGCTTCCCCCATGCTTCCCACTTGTTTCCCACGTGCTTCCCACATGCTTCCCATGTGTTTTCCACTCGCTTCCCACTCCACTTGTTTTCTCATTCATTCATATACATGATGACGGTTGCTTGTGTTGCAATCGAAACGGCGTATTTTATTATTTATTTTATTTTGCTGGAACTCCCTCTGTCAACGACCCATCACTTATGTTCCATTTCCATCACTTATGTTCCATTTATGTTCCATTTTCCGCGAATGTTTCGCAGATAAGTGACTTCAATGGTAAAATTCATCCTATGATTTGCGATTATCCCCGGGTTTTTGTTGTCAGATATAAGCTGGATAAATTCAGATACAATTGCGGACAATAGAATACGCGATTTCATCCTCACATCTCGGGATAGGAGGCATTCGTGGGTGTCCTTAAAAAAAAACAACCTCCAACTGAAGGCCAAGCCGCATTCACGGCTGCTTAGATATGCAAATGAACGTATTAAGAATACAGTAAATGTTGAACAAATTGTACTGAATTTCTAAATAGAGACTCAGTTGTATTTTACATCCGTTCAATGGGGCCTCTTGTTCACCTTTCCAACCAATAAACCATATGGAACATTGGGGCAAACGTTGGTCCAATGGGTTCTAAACAAATGGCGATGTTGGTCAAACTTTGACGTTGACTGGGGAAAAAATTGTTTCTTGGTAAAATAATTGCCGTTAAATAATGGTTACATCTTCAGGGCCATGAGAGATGACGATAGCTTTGGGAGCGCCTTAATCCAGCAGTGGATTGACCATGGCTGATGATTAAGGGATTGGGAAAATGGGCCACGCACAGAATTAATTATCCCTTTAAAAAAAATGTAACCACTCCAGACCAGTACATAGCATTACAACAACCACATATTTATAAAATATATACTGTACAGTACATGCATTTTAGATGCATTAAAAATATTTTTGTAATCCATGTAATTGGGAGTAATTTATGTTTACAATTGGAAATCCACTATCAGTGTGCCAATTGTTACAGTACACGGGATTCTGCCGTAGTGACACTGCTTTGCACACTGGACACGCCAGAGGGCGCCAATTTGATCTCGCCGTCGTGGCAGCTCAAACAATGAACACGTTTATACTGGTAGGAACCTCCTGGTTCCACCAGCCCACAGGGGATTATTGTGTTCGTCCATCCGTCGTGCATCCAAAAATGGGAGGGGTGGGGCTGGGTGGAGAAGGGAGGGTGGGGAGGGGCTGGGTGGGGAGGGGAGGGTGGGGAGGGGCTGGGTGGGGAGGGTGGGGCTGGATGGGGAGGGGAGGGTGGGGAGGGGCTGGGTGAGGAGGGTGGGGCTGGGTGGGGAGGTGGGGAGGGGCTGGGTGGGGAGGGTGGGGCTGGGTGGGGGGTGGGAGGGGTGGGGCTGTGTGGGGAGGGGCTGGTCACCCCGTGGTGCCCTTATAAAACTGAACGTTTAACCTACTCACGCCGGCTTGTGCCCGCCCTCACAGTCGGCCATATTTGCGGAATACACCACGCCGCCGTTGACCCTGGCCATTGACCGAGCAACCCAACGTTCCTACCAGCTCCCTCCGCAGGAATGTGTTCAATCCCTGCACCTACGTCCACCCAGCAGTTACAGATGGGCATCAACACCAACGTTGATCGGCAGGTAGGCAGGTCGTGTGTGGTGGTGGAAAGTGAGGGAATCTCTCACATTTTGCACATCTATCCAGCGTGGAAGAGTAGGCCAAATACCGCGTGGAGGGTCTCTCTCTCTCTCTATAGCTCACTCTAGTGGAGGGAAGAGCAATTGCAGGGCTGCGCCTTGACATCTTACAAATCCGTCCCGCCTGTTTAAGGCTTCGGGTGCCTTGTGAACGTCTGCTCATGGGAAATGTCAATCCAAAACAAGTGGTGTCGGCTTTCTTGAACCGCTCGGGTTATTTTTAATGGACCAACTGTTCATCTTTCTGCCCCTTCTAGCACCACCACGACCAGCCACCACCACCACCACAATCTGGATCAACACGAGTGCTCCAAAGGGTATCAACATTTTCAGGAGGGTTCGCCACGGTGGCTCTGAGACAAATATGTTCAAAATGTCCCCCCCAATATATTGCTTTAAAATATTTTAAAATTATAATTGCTATGCTATGTAAATAAAAACAACAATTTGCTAAACCTTGGCCACAATATCTGGACTTGTCTTCATTTAAATCAATGCACAGATTTCTGTTCATATGATTGTGGTTATGGTTGTACTTGATTAATCCCTAATATCAAACATTACATTCAATGAAACAAGAAATGGTAAAAAAAGTTAAAACAGAGCAATGTAATACAATACACTGTTAGACATTATTGTACAAAATAAATATGAAGTCCATCCCACGTGTTAGTGAATTTTTTTTATATTTTAGGCAGAAAATTACACCAGCCCACAGGGGATTATTGTGCCCGTCCGTCGTGCATCTAAAAATGGGAGGGGTGGGGCTGGGTGGAGAGGGGAGGGTGGGGAGGGGCTGGGTGGGGAGGGTGGGGAGGGGCTGGGTGGGGAGGGTGGGGAGGGGCTGGGTGGAGAGGGGAGGGTGGGGAGGGGCTGGGTGGGGAGGGTGGGGCTGGGTGGTGAGGGAGGGGCTGGGTGGGGGGTGGGAGGGGTGGGGCTGGGTGGGGAGGGGCTGGTCACCCCGTGGTGCCCTTATAAAACTCAACGTTTAACCTACTCACGCCGGCTTGTGCCCGCACTCACAGTCGGGCATATTTGCGGAATACACCACGCCGCCGTTGACCCTGGCCATTGACCGAGCAACCCAACGTTCCTACCAGCTCCCTCCGCAGGAGGAATGTGTTTAAAGCCCCCACAACGACATCAGAACCACCTTACCACAGTCCAGTATTTGTTGTAAAATACAACAAACTCACACTTTTTTTCCCGATTTTGTCCAGCGACAACGACGAACGCGGCGCTTGCTTCGCTATTCACGTCGGCACACCAGTCAATTGCCACACAGACACAGCAATCTCTCAAAAAATATCTAAAAATGTAATCTTATTATTGTGGTTGTTGTCGATGTTGTTGTTGTTCCGACAGAGGTTTTTAAGTCCCTCGCATCTGACAACGCCTCGTGCGGCGAGCCGCACGCAGAGTCCCGCCCTCAGCACGGGGCGCGCAGCGGCAGCAGCAGCAGCAGCGCCATCCCTCCTCGGCTGCGATTGCTTCCTCATCATCATCCTCCTTCTCATCATCCTCATCATCGTCGTCGTCGTCTTCGGTGCTGCGTGCGCTGCTCGTCAACAACAACAACAACCCTGTACGCGCCCCTGGGTTCCGCAAGTGACATGAGGGCGCAATGGGCGCCAAGGAATCCAAGCTGGGCTTCCTGGCGTACGAGGACGCGCTCAAGAGAGGTGCTGGCCGCCAACAACCACCACCACCCACAATCCACAACCCACCACCACAACCACCACACATCACCACCACCAACAACAACCACCACCCACCAACAACCCACCACCACCACAACCACACATCACCACCAACAACAACAACCACCACCCACCACCAACAACCACCACCAACCCACCACCAACAACCACCCACCACCAACAACCACCACACATCACCACCACCAACAACCACCACACATCACCACCACCAACAACCACCACACATCACCACCACCAACAACCACCACACATCACCACCAACAACCACCACACATCACCACCACCACACATCACCACCACCACACATCACCACCACCAACAACCACCCACCACCAACAACCACCCACCACCAACCAACCACCCACCACCAGACACCCACCACCACCAACAACCACCACCACCACCACCACCACCACCCACCACCACCAACAACCACACATCACCACCACCACACATCACCACCACCAACCACCACCCACCACCACCCACCACCAACCACCACCAACAACCACCACACATCACCACCACCAACAACCACCACACATCACGACAACCACCAGCCACCACACATCACGACCACCACCACACATCACCACCAACCACCACACATCATCACCACAACCACCACCCACCCACCACAACCCACCACCACCCACCACCACCACCCACCACCACCCACCACCCACCACAACCACCCACCACTGCCCTCTCGCCTCTTGTCTCTCCCCAGTTCCCATCCCGCCGTCTGCCCTTCCTCGGCGACCCTTCCCTCTCTGGCCGCAGCCTTTGGCCGCCCTCCCTCCCTCCAATGTCCGCCCACATTTCCTCATGTCGGCCCCACGCCGACCCCACCGCCGTGTCCCCCTTCTTGCTCGTCTCTACACGGCCGCCCTCCATCTCTACCCCATCTCTACCCCAGCTCTCTCCTCCCACTCCGCTGCCCTTCAGAGCCACTCTCGCCCGCTCTCTGCCGTCTCCACGGTCAACCATGTGGCTCTACCTGCCCCTCTCTACATGCCCTGCCCTTCCTGCCAGCCCCGACTCCCCCCTTCACTGGTCCATAGCTGCCCTATCTCCCTGCCCTACATCTTTGTCTGCCCTACCCCTCTGCCCTATATCCCTGCCTGCCCTACCTGCCTGCCCTATCTGCATGCCCTACCTGCTTGCCCCCCTACCTGCCTGCCCTACCTGCCTGCCCTACCTAACTGCCCTACCTGCTTGCCCTACCTGCCCTACCTGCCTGCCCTATCTGCCCTACCTGCCTGCCCTATCTCCCTGCCCTAAATCTCGTCCTGCTCTACATCTGTCTGCCCTACCCCTCTGCCCGACCTACCTACCTGCCTGCCCTACCTGCCCTACCTCCCTGCCCTATCTGCCCTATCTGCCTGCCCTACCTGCCTGCCCTACCAACCTTCCCCGGCCTGACATCCATCGCGGCACCTGCTTGCATTTCCCTTCCTTGGTTGCTGCGTCCGCTAGCTCCGTGTAAACGAGCGAGATTTGGCTCCTGTGCCAGATACAGCGTGAATATTTGGGATGCGGCTGCTGCGTCTTGGATATCGTTTTATATGTCTGGGTTCGTGGCCCAATCCTGTGTCTGATGCTGGCTGTGGTTTTTGTTGTTGTGTGTTTCTGGGTTTGGGTATGCGGGCGATCAGGTTCTCGGTGTTGTCTCGGTGTTTGGTGGGGACTGGGTTCTTGACTTTGGTCTGGATTTCGGTCTGGTGTGTTCTGGTCTTGAGTTTGGAATCTCGGTTGAGTTCTGGGTCTGATGTTGCCGTGTACGTGATGCGTTCTGGGTATGGGTCTCATCGAGGTTCGGGTCTATGGTGTCACACTGATTCTTGGATGTGACTTTTGGTCGTCAGTTCTGCGTGTGGGTTTGGTGGCGACTGGGTTTCTGAATTTGTCGCTGGATCTGTGCATTGATCTGGGGGCTTACTTTGCCTGTTTCTGGATCTTAGGCTGTCTCAGTTTGGGGCTGGGGCTGTGAATGGTTCTGTTCCGGGCCCGGGTTGAGTCTGGAATTGGCTTTGGGTGCGGTCTAATTCCTTGGCTGAGAGAGGGCATGGGCCTGCGCCAGGATCTGAGAGTCTGTCTTTCAGTTAGTCAAGGTCCCATCTCGATTTGTGACTTAAGCCTGGGGGCTGTGATCTAGCGAGACTGCAGGGGGAGGGGGGGCTGGTCTGCATGGGTTTCCCGTGGTGATTTGGGGCTCAGCAGACGTTTGATGCCACCCTGGGCAGCCCAAGTCGCTGTTTGAGGCGTGGTTTGGGTAAAGCTGATGTCTGAAGTGACATATTTCCATGTGGTAGTGATGATGATAATCATTCCTCCATGATCAATAAAAATGGATTCTGAATTGTGTTGTAGACTGCAGAGGCAGTAGCAGCAGTTGTAGCTATGGAGATGGTTACCCGCCATACAAATGTGACATTTCCATCACTCGGACTGCCCCTTGTCGTGTGTAATAACACCGTCCCACTCTCGTGCGTGAATGGAGGCACTGTGACTGAATAATAATGTACAATTGTGGATCCAGGAAAAGCTTCACTGAGTCCCATTGCTCTCTGGAGGGCCTTACATTAAGATATGTGGGGTAGTTCCTTATTGAGCATTTTTGCATGTGAGAGGAAATGGCAATGCTCTGAGAAATGCATATTCAGGGGAAAACACTGAAATATCAACTTTTGAGTGTAGGTTAGAGACGTGCTTTCTGCGCTGCACGCGCACAGCTTGCAACAACGGCTGGGTTTGGAGTATCGTGCGTGCACGAGGTGATTTCGCTGTGTGAGCCCACACATTTGTCACGTTAGGAGGCCTAACTTAAGTGGTCAGTGCGTAAAGCTTTGACATGCATTGTAATGGTGACACCGTGAAAGGGTGTTTCTGAAAATAACACTGCGGAGGAAAAATGCAACATGCGTTTGCTTTACAGTAGAATATTGTATTTAAATATACAGCAAATGGACTCGGGAAGAGTTTTAAAAAATGCCAACGATTTGGCTAATTCAGCGTCGTGTACAGTGTTTGCTTAAATCTTTTTAAATGCATTTCCTGCTCTGCCTTTCGAGAACATAAAGTTCAATGCTAAATAGCAATGGTGCGCACTGGTGATTGCCCAAATAGAACCCTTTACGCCTTGCTGACAAAGACATGTTTTCATAGGGATTTAGTTTTTTGCCATCATACAGATAGCAATGATCTTATGTGAATAAATGATGTAATAGCGCACGGTATTACGTGCATGCATTTCACACGCACTTTTAATCTGGTTAGCACATGTCAAAATGAAAAATGCGTTTTGACCAGAAACTATTAGCCTTGACCCAAAATCCAATGCCTACATATTTCACATTAACATCCTCTGCTACAGTAATTAGCGATTAAATAGAACAACCAATAAACATCCGACAGTCATCTGATGCCATGAAGATGTACAGCGTGTATTTATAGTCACCGAGTTACAGTAACCTTAAGCCTAGAAGGTACACGTGACAATTACAGCCGTTACTATTGACACATTATTGTAAACCTGAATACAAAGCTACCTATTGTGATGAATGGGAGTCGGCGGTGTTTATGGAGTGAGTGTTCTTGCCTAATACATTTGCCAATGATGGTGAGAAGGAAACTACATGGTTTCCCTGTTTAAACAAATGCTGTTGAAAAACACTTATCCAGAAAGCCCTTCGCCTGGTTCACGGAAATGCTCTTTGCTTTCATCACATCCCGAGACAGGCCCTCATTTATAAAGAAGTTGCGGTACTATATCTTTTGTTGCAGATCTTGTAATTGTGCACAATGCAAGAGATGTGCGTTCTAAATTCACTTGAGCACATTGTGCAATGGTGAAGCTATGATGCCGTATGAGTTAAATGTTGATTAGGATGGCTTTTCATTTATTTTGCACATTCAACAAAGGCCTTAGATAATCTTGCGAATAAAATGTGGTGTCAGGAGGCATTTATCATGTCAGTTTTCAAAATGAATCATGACGCTAAGAATCATGGGGCTCTGTTATTCTAACTGCGAGTCTTCCTGGAAGATTTACTTTGAACTTGACAGTGCTGTGTTCTTTCCTTGAGTCGTTTTCATTAATCATGAACCCTAGGAATGCCTTAACTCTGTTATAAGTAGCAAACTTACACCGGGGAATCTGCCGGAGGACAATATTTAAATCACCTTTTCAGGAAGGAAGTCACTTCGGATATTGAGTCTATTTATTTTAGGGTTTTGCATGTACAGTATGAGGAAACCAGAGTCCTTTGAGGAATCGCATGCATTTTAGGAGAGCATCCCCCCAAATTGCACTCTTGACAGAGCCTACTTTCTGTACTGCATGCATTAAGTGCAAGTTCCGAAATGAAGCAGCAGGGAGGTGCTTCACGCAAGCTCGATCCCCTGCGTGATACACCACCTTTGCAGGTTGCTTATGGACATTATACATCATTGGAACCTCATTTGCCAGTAAAAAATATGATAATTGATGTTTTACCCTTTTATCTGGCAACAAAACGGACACCTTTTTTACCAGGAGTCATGTTTGCATAGACCACAATACCTGCAGTCATGACGCCTTTTGGCATCATCAGGTCCAACACCATGTGAGACTAGGCTCTAAGGAAAGCTGTCTCGGGTGTGGACCGATCAACTTCAAGGACAGTGCATACATTATCAGAGTTATGTTTTTTGTTTGCATTATGACTGCAGGTATTGTGGTCTATGCAAACATGACTCCTCGTAAAAAAGGTGTCAGTTTTGTTGCCAGATAAAAGGGTAAAAAACCAATGATGACATTATACATGGCAACATTTTTCGTGGCAACATGTGCTCCTCGGCTTCTCCAGTAATAATAATGTTGGTAATAATTAGTGGAGTGATGACACGGTTATTTGTGCACGGCGTTTTAAACTTGGCGACCTTTAGTTGGATGTTTGACAACGGCGAATATCCGTGGCTCGTGATATCTAAGTTGGTCCTGGGCCCACCCACTTACCAATCTAATTATATGGTGATTCGGTTTTGGCACTGGTGCACAAGCAACAGCAAATAGCAATAAACTCAACACATTCGTCAAACATTATTACTTGCACACGGCTTACTTAACCGTCCTTAAAATGATTGCTTGACAATGCTGTATTCTTATGTACTGCATTGTGTGCAGAATAAGCCGTACGTCTCGTGCTGTGTTATTTTAGCAGGGTTCTTTGGGCCTTAAACACGCAGCCAGCGGTGAGAAACGGCACGGCTCGTAGGTACATTCTGATGAAACAGGACAACGTGACTGACATCAACATTATTCCAAATGAATTCTGACTTGCAGAGTAAGGACACTAACTGGAAAAGTCACATACGATTAGCCAAATGTTGAAGGCCTGGGGTCAGCTCTTATGGACTTGACCCTAACGAATCTCAACAGGGTGCTGAAGCTAGTTTTTTTTCATTTGATTGGTGTCTCGAGTGAGTTGAGGTGTCATTAGCTGTAAAGCTTTTTTTTAGTACCATGTCTCACTAACTTGATAAGAAGATGCCTGCCTCCCACACATAATGGCACAGACAGCTAGCTGTATTCTTCTTCTTGGTTCTTTCGGTAAAGTCACGTAGAAGGAAAATAATAAAATAATAAAAATTAAACATAATAAAATAATTCTCACGACGTTTCGACTCTGCCTTCTCGACAGACCTGTTCTCCACCTGAAGACGGCTGCTTGCGTTGTGGCCGAAACGTCGTGAGAATTATTTTATTATGTTATATTTTTATTATTTTATTATTTTCCTTCTACGTGACTTTACCGAAAGAACCAAGAAGATGAATCCCTGCAGTCACGAAAGGTTTAAATCGAAATTTAGCTGTATTCTTGTTTCCATGGTAATGTTGTGGTGTACACCACTCATAACCCACAGCGGGCTTTGTGTGTGGACTGCCACTCTTGTTACCCAGGGACGGTGAACGTGGCGTTTGCTTGCTTGTAGGCGATTTTGTAAACGTGCTTTTCAATAGACGGTTGACTTTTTAGCCGAGTGTGGTGGCACATGCTAGTAACCTGGCACTTTCGAGGCAGTGTTGCTGGATCACGCAGAGATCAGCATATGATGTGAGACTCTCCTACCCCCTCTGGGCTGCAGGGTGGCAAGTACAGCAAATTGGGTTGTATCCCATTTTTAGACTTTTGACTTTTATTGCCTCGTGTATTTTTTAAAATCTAGGTACTTTGCTTTCCTTCCATATGCCAAAGGGGATTTGCCAAACATTCCAGTCCAGGGCCCCTCAAATATTCACTGGGTTTCCAATTAGTTTGTTTTTACGTCGTAAAGTGTTATGTATACTATAATTCAGTTCCATCCATTTTAATTCCACCAATGGATGAAAGCTTCCGTACATCATCTGTGTTGGTCAAGGTTTTCTTACATTATACTTCGAATACACAGGTCAGTGTGGGTTAGTGAGGGTGGGGAGGGCACGGCCGATTCTGATATCAATTGCCACTGATGTTTGTTGTGGACGGGAATTGAATTTTGGTTGCCGGGTTCAGAGCACAGCTTGCTAACAACTGTACCACCGCTGTACTCCTTGGGTGTTGTTTATTTGAGTTTAAAGCATTTGGAAAATAATTTAAGTTAATAAAAACATATTTCCTTTAACAAAATTATTTTGTTGGAGATCAGCAATTATATGTTCACGTGAGGAAGTTTTAGAAATGTATTTATTTGTATAAGTGGAATATATAGATGACCTTTAGTTAAAACAGCTGAGAGCCCATAAAAATACTGCATAAGAAACGTAATACAAGGTCATACATGGCAAAGCAACACAAAATGTAACGCAACGTAAAATTGAAATGAGAAACAAATAAGCCCAGGCAGCTCTTGAACTCATGTAAAAAATTGTGAAAACAATTTCTGATATAAAATCTATACACTCATAAGAATAATATGTACTGTATATATAAATTAAATATCTTAAGGTAGATTATGGGTGCCAATCACAAAGTGTAGGCATTTACAAAAACAAAAACTTCCTCTGGCTTATAATTGGAAGCACAGTGGCAGGACTGAGATGCAGTGAGAATTTTTTTAAATAAATGAAATGCATTTATTTTGGAGCAGTTCATCTACAAACGTCGCAATCAATGTGTATTTGCTGCATATGTATTTGGTTGTTGGGACTACAGCCACCTTTGTATATTGAAAGCTGCTTTGGAAGACCAGGCTTCATGCCAGTTTTGTTGGGAACAGCATCAAAGTAGGTTGTTCCAAATCTCCAGTAAAAAGGCGTTTGATATTTTCCGTTTTATAATTTTTGTGATAATGTCCTTACGGTACAGATGTGTTTGCATACTTCTCCTTCTCAATGTACCCAAGGGCAGGTCCCTGGCTCAAGCTCTCTCCATCCTATCCCGTCACCACTTCCTCTTCTCTCTACCTTTGCAACACCGCACTCCATGCCAGGGTTCTTGAGCCATAACTAGGGAAAGATGGTTGAGGTTTTCTCGAATTGTTTTTTTTAGGTGACACCGTGACGGGTCGGAGTTTAACATCACTCTCGGGGCGTGTTGGCATTCTACATAATTCAAAATTGTGCTGCATAGCACGTCAAAGCAATCCACCACACTTGCAGAACTCTACCGCACATCAGTTGAAGCCATTCTTCTGGTTAACTAATCCAGACATAGACGTACAAGTTGCTATTCATCCAGCCATACACAAGAAGAAGACTAGTTCACTAGTTCATTGATGCTGTGAAATGGTTTATGTCATGCCAGAAAAATACACAATACATCGTTTCACTAGCTCGTCTATGCTGTGAAATGTTTTTTTTTATGACATTCACATATGCGATTGCTGCTCATTGTTCAGTTGCCACCGCTAATTCCGTGTTGTGACCTTTTCCCTTCTGCACGCAGTGACGGATGATGAGCTGAAGAGGCTACGCGATGCCTTCAAACGGTCATGTGGTCTGGCGTACATGAACCAGCTGTGCTTTGTGAGGGAGGTGCTTGGGGAAGGTGTGCCGTCTAAAGTGGCCGAGGTGAGAACCACCAATCATCCTGTCTGTCATGATTTATAATCCGGAGAGCCTGTCGCCAGAGGTCGCAACCGGGTACCCGTACCCTACCCGATACCCGGCTAACCGTACCCAGCCGGGTACGGGTACGGGTAGCCGTTTGCGACCCTGGTGCGGCCGGGTACGGGTACGGGGGGGTAAGGAATCAAAACTCGTTTGCGACCTCTGGCCTGTCGTCAATAAAAGTTTTTAAAAAATAGCACACACTTCATCGAGTACGACGAATCGTCAGGCTAGGTTATTAATAATCCTCGGTCAGTGCAGCGATATTAACACTACTCAGTAGTAATCCTGTAACAATGGAAGCTAATTTAGCAGCAACCCATTTTTTTCCATGGTCTCTTACGTTGTGATGTCATCTCGTGCGTGAGTTTATCGATTCATAATTTCATTTCCAAAACGAATCTAACAAATTGGTGGAAATTCTGTAAGGCAAACATGACAACATCGTGTCACTTGGCGGTGTTAGCCTGCACGTACAGCTGTGTAATGTGTTAGCACGTGCGCTCACTGTACAGTATGCGGTATTCCAGTGTGGGTTGGAAAGGGCAGGAAATGTATGCTTGTAACACTTGTTGATATCACTGCTGGGTGGCGTGACCAACTAACCAAACTGGGTTTTCGGGCTTTTCAGTAAAGTTGATCTTGGGTCATGCTACACGTAAGTGTACGTATTTAACAAAAAATACATTTTTGTATATCTACAAAATCAGATATTCTAAATCAGATATTAACCCATCATAATGGTTCGTCACGATGGTATTGTTCTTCTTGGTTCTTTCGTATTGTTCTTCTTGGTTCTTTCGGTAAAGTCACGTAGAATGGAAATAATACCGAAAGAACCAAGAAGATGAATCCCTGCAGTCACGAAAGCTTTAAATCGAGATGGTAATGTTGGTTTTTTTCTTGGCTTGCTTACATATGCGCTATTATCTTGTGGGAGTATATAATCAGCTGCCTTCTAGTCTAGAAATGAAGACTTGGTGCCTATTGACAAGTTACAATGGTGAGCTTGCCCTGTGTCTAAGGGACAAATATCGTTATATTGTTGAGCTGGCACCACTGAGATATTCTGTTTTGGAATCCAGGCAGGCCGTGATTTCAAGCGGCTTCTCAAGTATAGTGATGGCCTCAGTCCGATCACTAATGACTGCACAAATAAACAATCACATCGGAGTTGTTTTTTTTCACATCATCATTGGGTTTATTCTGCCTCTGAGAATTCAAGTTTTACTTCAAGTGGCGTATGGCAAACACCCTCTCTGCGGGGCATGTCAAAAAATGTGACCCCAGTGTGCACGAAGAGGCCTGTTGAAGCGAGTGGAGGAGTATAATTCTAGATTTGAAGCTTTCGTGACTGCAAGGATTCATACTCTTAGGTTTTTTCGGTAAAGTCACGTAGATAAAAATAAATAATAAAAATAAACTAATAGAAATGATACTAGAAATACAATTAAAAATCACGAGGTTTCGGAGGCAACACAGGTCTCCGTTATCAGGTGGGACCGTCACAGCTAGATTTACTGTATCAAGTGAGGCAAAATTCCAAGAGACAATCCCTTAAATACAAGTTAAGGGGGGAGGAGGGGGGAGGGGGTTATCTGAATGTGGCAGCCAATGAATGGAACGTGTTGGGGGGGGGGCTAAAAGAGAACAATAGGTGCACATGTTGTTGTTTTACCTGGTGTTGGTTGACAATCCAAATACAAAAAGGAGAGTACTGTTAAACGCTGGGGATGTCAACACTCGGTAAAGTAGAATAGTACCTGTTACATAAGATGATCCAAAAATGTGTAGTTAAATCTTTTTTGCATGGAGTATAGTTCTGTGTCGTAATCTTCCATGGCCGGTATCCGACACGGTGAAGCACTTTTCGTTGCAAATGTAGAAACACATATTAGTAATTTACAGCTCTTTATCAATCAACTGGTGGATGAAGGCCATGCTTTTTGATCATTGGGGTTGTTTGTATGTTGAACTTGTTTCGCACCGTACGTAGCCAACCGCACTGATTTGAGGTGACTTTATTTCATTACGATTCTCTGTACCGATACCAAGGACTCATTTTGATATCACTCGTGTTAGCCTTGGTCAAAGAATACAACTCGTGTAACCGGGTTCGTATTTCAGTGCGCACACCACTGCGTCACAGCTCCACCCCTGGATGGTGAAATTTCCAAATGGTAATTTGTCTTCTGACACGCTGCCAATAGATGTACTAACACACAAAGATGTGCAGTGCATTTACAAATGCTCTGCTGCCAATAACACAATTGGATTATAATTGAGAGGAATGAAATGTAAAAAAAAAGTGTCTCTGTAGGTCAACAATGGAATGGATAAAAAGAATTGAAGACGCATCACGACTATTCAATCAAATTCGTATGCACCAAGTTAATAAAGTGCCCCAGGATTTTTAGTTGAAAAATTTCGTACAATAGTAATGTCTCTTCATCACGTAAGTAATCTTTTCACAAAGTTGCAGTGCACTGCACTGTGAACCCAGTAACCTGAATTTGATTGCTGGCGTCAGGGAAACATCTACACTGACCAGTTCGGTGAAGTATGGTCAAGCAATCACTTTTATTTATACAGGAAGGAGAGGCCCACGGTCAGTGGTCGATTGATAAAGAGCTAGGGATCCATCTTCTTGGTTCTTTCGGTAAAGTCACGTAAAAGGGAAGTAATAAAATAATTAAAATAAAACATAATAAAATAATTCTCACGACGTTTAGGCCACAACGCAAGCAGCTGTCCTCAGACCTGGTTTTCACCTGAGGACGGCTGCTTGCGTTGTGGCCGAAACGTCGTGAGAATTATTTTATTATGTTTTATTTTTATTATTTTATTACTTCCCTTCTACGTGACTTTACCGAAAGAACCAAGAAGATGAATCCCTGCAGTCACGAAAGAAGCTTTAAATCGGAGCTATGGATCGTTTTTTTTTATTTTTACAAGATGGACGAATTAAGCCTTTCAAATTGCACTCATTAGATTCATTTGGATGGCTCAGAGGGCGGAGCATTGAGCCAGTGCCGCTGAGATTCTGGATTAAAATCCAGGCAGTCGCCTGTGATTAAACTAGGTTCTTAAGTGTCGTGAATTTGTAGAGTCAGTCCGTTCACCTTACACTGCACAAACAAGACAAATCCATCGGTTCTGCACTCAATTTGGCTTTTTTTCTAACACAAGGAGTTCGTGTCGCTGCGAGGGGCATTGCAACCTCTTGTGTCTCGTGACATGACAGCGACGGCACAGTAGGGGATGGGGGAGGGGTAATTGGTGAATAAATACAAAATAAATGTAGGCCTTGTGTTGTTGGTTGGTTTTAGGTACTAATTGAACGTCTGCCTTTTGCAGGTGATATACAACTCATTCGGCGGCTCTTCAAAGGGGCTGTCATTCAAGGAGTTGGTGGTGGGCCTGGTCCTGCTCACCCGCGGCCGGGATGAGGAGAAGATCAAATGTGAGCGAGCGGCATCCGAGTGCGCGTCTCGTGACGGCTGTATGTGTGTGTGTCACACGAGTGGAGTTATTGTGCACGGGTAGTAGTGCTTCTCGCTAAAATCCCAACCACTGTTGATGAACCATGAGCCACACGCACGCTGGACGGTGATCAGAGCGCTGGCCTCCTACTTGTTATGTACTTTAACCTTGTGAAGGTCACAGCTTTCCTCACTGCCAGTTACCGTACAATGTTGCAAATATGACTAGCTGGCGACAGGCTTAAATGGAAATGTGAAAAGGTCAGATATGTGACAATCTATGAAAAATGACAGTCCATGCCCAATATACGCACGCTACTGGATGTCAGTGGTTGATTAGTCAGGGTGGATATGCAATGGCCGGATATGCGATGTTGAACCGTGCGTGAAACTTAAATGAACGCCACCTGCCGTGTCTGCCCGTGGGAGAGTGCAGACATCTTCAGTTTGTGTGCCAACGAGTCGGGCAGCTATGTGAGCCGAGAAGGCCTGGAGGGGCTGCTCCAGGCGTGTGAGACTCAGCCCCTGGCCGAAACCGTGCGCCAGTGTTTCAGAGAGGTGAGCACTCACGGGTCACCCATGCCTCTCTGTCCATCAGAGCACAGGTCACCAGCGACTTACTTGCCTCTCAACCTCTTCTTGCAGAAATGTGCAGCGCAGAAAATGCCATTGTTGGGCTCTGATGCTATGCTTCCACGTATTATGTCTGTGTGTGGTGCCTCACCTTTAGCAACCCACACTGAACCAGCGTGGTGAATTGGCCACGGTCATATAACCCCCCCTCCCTCGTGATACGCACGGCGATGTGGGGAGGCCCTCATCCAGAGGTGGAATGACAAAATTGCTCCACCGTGTACTTGTGCTTTAAGTGGAACGAAATAAACATTGTCGGGAACAAAGGCATAAGTTGTTTGATGGGTTTTCGGAGGGCCTGGATTCTCGCCGTGTTTTGAGATGCCGTGGTCGGCAATGTCGTCTCCAGCAGCCGGTGGTGACTGTGAGCAACCCACCTAGATAATGGCAAGCGCCGTAATTGATTTCGTCGCAGTCTCTCCATCAGTGGGAGACAAATCATCTGTTGGGTTAAGTGAAGGTTTTCACTTCATGCTATTATAAATGATTATACTTTATTAATTGATTTGGCTGACATTGTTGTGGTATTCCATTTGCACACATTTTTTACCACTTTCATTGAACAGCAAGCAGTTGAAGAAGCGTTACATTTAATCAATTCCATTGTCCTTCCGGATGCAACTGAAAGAGCACTATCCAAATAATGCAAATTAGTTCATTATTCTGCTGCATTAGTGATCACTTTTTACCTCTATGAGCGTGTTATTTTTGTTAGCTGCACGACTCTTTAAACCTTTAAGACAACCTGATAAGGAACAATATGGGCACAGTCCTTCTTTGAAGTTTGGCCGGATCTCTTTACACCTAAGAAAGGGCTGGATGTTAGGAGGTAATTTCAATTTCAAATTTATTTTGACTTAACAATTTGAGATCTCAAGAGACCAGGCGTGTCTTCATTTGCAAGAGTGAGCTGGGACGTTACTCTGCCAGCACGGGGCGATTACTGCTATGCGTAGGCCCAATTTAGTAATTTGTGATGCTTTTTTCGAATTTGACATTTCTATCCTGATGCCGACACTCAATGGCGTATGCTTGCGAATGACATCAGGGGTTCTTTAATGATGACGGTGAAGCGGACGGCGCTTATATTGTTCCGGCTATTACACTCGCAGTATTAGTGCGGCCGCTGGGTTCGAACCGTTAACCCCTGCAGCAAGCAGTGAACACGCTACCGCTAGGCCATGTCACTGTCCCGTGGGTAAAGGTGACAGTTTAAAAGGTAAAGGTGCAGCCCTGCAATTGCCTTGAACACGGCACTGCTGGGCAGAAGGACCTCCACTAAAAAGCTCCCTCATGCTGGACACACGCACTGTCACCCACCATCCGTGACTGACTGAGCGACTGACTTTGTCGTCATTTCAACTTGGCCAATGATTCCACTGCCGTGCCAGGAGATTGATTTGACAACCTCTGGCTTGCAGGTCCAGTGTGCTAATCATCACACCACGGCAACATTCCATTGAGTAGGAGGCGTACTGCGTGTCTTTATTTTGTATTGAATTTTGTGGATCATGTTCCCATGTATATTGTACTTATTGGCATCATAAAACGAGACTATAACATTTTATTTTGCAACTCCCGCATAAATCATTGCTTCCCCCCCCCCCCCCCCCCCATTATTGTAGAATGGCCTCCTGGAATTGTTGCATTGTACGAGATTCTCCTTCGGTTGTCTCTTATCTTCACGAGGGTCATTGTGCCTTTTCACATGGATGACTATAGAGGTGTTTGTCACTCATGATACACTAACAAAAACAACGGTCCTCAAACCTGAGAGATGCTGAATTAAGTTTTTATTTCGGGTGCTCATTGATAACCGGGGTGAGACCACCAACTCACTACTTTTTGAGAACCCAATTTTAATCGCAGGAGATTGCCGAGGCTTAAATCCGGGGATCTCGGTGCTCTGGCAGTATTATCCCTTTGAGCTGCCAGGGCCACCTGACTGACAGGAGTGGTTTTCTCTGCCTGCACTCGGCAGTGTTAGGGGTAGAGGCTCTCGAAGCCCGAGGCAGGCATTTCATCGCAGGCTTTTCTGCCGGACGATTTAAGTTACGTCTCATCGACTGCGCTGTGGCATTCGTGCGCGAGAATTGCAGCACCCTCTCGGCTACGGCGGATGAATTGAAAAACTAAATTCAAGCAACTGATGTCCGTGCTGTTGCTAGTTAACGGGTGACAAACTGTCAATGCTCCGTCACTTGAGAATTTAATCTCAGACTGGAACGCTGATGTTTGAGCCTGGAATATTACACTGGTCAAAAAAAAAAAAACATTTTTTTTCTGGCCTGGACTTTTGCAGCTGTTTTAGACTAATGTCAGGGTGCTGATTCCAAATCTGATCTCAGATTTGCTCTATTACATCTCATTTTTATGCTATCGGCATACCCCATTGTCATTGATTCCCCAAAATTAACTCTGTCACTTATGATTGCAAGTTGTTGCGAGTCAGTGACTGCTTTAGTGTTAAAATATGGTGCTGTATTTTTAGGATTGTGTGTTTATAATATAATTTTATGTAGATATCCACATTTATTTAATATTTTTCTTCTGCAGTTTTTATTGAAAATGCAATATTTGATATCTCAAAAACCTGAGGTGATAGACAAAAACTGATGCCAGATTTGGAATCAACACCCCAAAATTACCTTAAAACCGTTGGAATACCTTATGCCAGAAAAAGTGTGTTGACCAGTGTTAACAGTGATGTCGCATCGCCTAAGGACGTGCGTATAACTTGTGTTGCGAGTGCTTTGCACAACAAAGTAAAAAATGTGTTGAAGTGGATGGAAAGGGCATATTCTGTGATTATTGGACTTAACATTATCAAAATACTTTCAACAAAATGTACGCAGCTAAAATTAACTGCGACCTATCAGTATCAATTCGGCATTACCATGAAGGTGTTTGTTTTGTGGGGATTGCATGTGAATTCACAAATTATTCTTACTGTGCTGTGTGATTTTTATCCGGCTTGGTGGTGCAATGGGTAGAGCACACAACTGGCGTTGGAAGTTTACATTTTGTTTGGGGATCAACTGAACCCTCATTGTCTCTGCTAAATACATTGAACGTTCGTGGCAACTGGAAGCCAGCAGTGGTTCTCTTGCCATGTTGACATGAGGACCACCGATGAGAAATAGACACATTTAACGAGTGAGTGGAGACTGAGAATAGGGGAAAAGCAGCAGAGGAAGGCAGCTGAAGAGATGCGAGAGATTAAATCAATGAATCAGGAGGCCATTACTGGACAAGAACAATTAAGGAAATGATGTAATGGATGAAAATGAGGGTAGGTCTTTACCCAAAAAGTGTGAAGTTACAGTCCTAACAACATTGGCGGTAGTTACATTGTGGAGGGACCAGCTACTGTCATGGGGAATGCGGAATTACCACCGCTGGCTTGGGGACAATCAACAGGAGATCAATGCCCCTCCGTGGTCATTTGAGCATGAAAGAACTTTTGACTTTCCTCCGTGCGAATGCGCGCAGAGCGAGCGGGCCAACTACGAGCGCTTCAAGCAATGGCTGCTCGCCAACAAGGAGCTGCTCATCCTCTCGCGCTGGCTGCTGGCGAGCACGGTCAGCGTGACCCTGACGGACGACAGCGACACGCCCACCTTCTACCAGACCCTCGCCGGAGTCACTCACTGTGAGTCTCTCGTACTGCGCGCTCGGTGTTGCGCGTGGCGGTGTGTCGGCGGTGTGTCAGCGAGGTGGGACTCGGCTTGGGTCCCGGAGCGCATCGGTTTGTCCTCGGCGCCGCAGGGAAATTCAATGGTGGGGGAGGCACCTCCCGGTAAATCTGATTTCTTTACAAAAAAAACTTTGTTATTTCTCTTGAGCGCCAAATATTGCCACTTTCTAGCTTGTTATTTTACTTTTGTGTACTCTTCTTATTATTATGAAACACAACCAGTATCTGATATTCGAGTGAAAATCTGCCATTTCGCAGAGGAGTGGAGGAGAAAGTAACTTACAATACTACAAATAGAAAGTGTGGTCTAGAGGTGTGATGGAGCTGTACTGTCTACTATACAGCAGTGACTGTAAATTACTAAACTGGTACTGCCCTGCCCGTGATGTTTCTGTGCGGCGTAGAGTTGGAATTGCTTTGCACGCTGTTATATGTTTGGGATTCGAAGCGAGATTTTCAATTTCTTTCCTCTTTTAGTTTTTAGAGGGTCCTCCAATAAAATTCTGTCATGTGTGAGACAGTGTATCCGCTCATGTGTTATTTTGAGGACAAACTGTGATAACCTAGTGAGTGGCAACATAAGCACGGCCGCCACCGCTATAATCGTCATGATTGTTATTCTTTGTCTTGTCAGCGACGCCACCATCCCATCACCTCTCACAAACACCGCAGATATCTTCATTCTCGCTGCCATTTTCATCACTGTATTCACCATTACCTCTGGGGTTTTATGTCACTGCGCACGAAATTCCGAAGTTTTGTATAATGGATATTAGATTGCATATCTCTTGAGTAAAGTTTCTGTAAAACAATTAACGTGAAAGTCCATGTTTTTTTGGCGAATAATTTTGGAAAAAGTGATTTCTGCAGGGCATGAATCAGGCTGCTTGTCTTTTTCTCTCTCCGCTACACACATCGCAATTGATACTTGCTTGCTTGTATAAACACGTACATACACAATTATCATAATCGCATCGTAATTACTTCCTTGTGAATTACATTAACACTTGTGAGTTTGTTCCGAACAAAATCACTCTCGTTTCCTAACACATACTTAATGAGTCATTTTTGGGTGTGTTCCATGAATAAGCTTAAATGAACATATGTACGTGTGACTGATCTGCGCCCTGTACGTTTGTTAATCAGGCGTGTTGCAACATATATGGAGAGCGCCTTCAAGTAGCTCGCAAGTGTCTGCGTTATTGTCTACAACAGCCAGCCGAAGTTATTCAGGATGGTCTCTTGACTTTACGCGATAATGTTTAATTGTTTAAATGCGCATGTAAGAATATTAAAAAGCAACGTTCATTTAGGTAGGGTCGTATTAGCGTCTGTGACCGCGCGGTTTGAGCATGCTTGAAAGGCCTCTTTTCTGCAGAACCACTTTTGTCCAACCCTAACTCAGTTGTCAGATTCCAGCCCTTGTGACCCTCCCACTCGGCTGCTTTCAGCTCTGTCTTATCGCCCACATTCATATGTAAATGATGTGCGTGTTCATATGCTAACGACGGAATATGCATATTGTGCACAGTCGTGTTATTGTTCTTTGAAATATACAGCATAATCGGTCCGGGTGGGGGATTGCAAATCGCTGCACTTATTTCTTGTTTGGCCTCTTACTACCCACACGTAACAGGTAAAATATAAATAAAACACCGCTTTCGCTCGCTCTCATCAAACAATATAAATCGTTCGCGCTAGACCAGGGGTCGGCAACCAAAATAACAAGAAGAGCCATTTCTTTCCAATTCGGTACAAAATTCAGTATTTCAAGAGCCGCAATGCATCTGAGTACATACGTACTCATCGTCAAGAAGCAGCCCGTAAAGAGCCGCATGCGGCTCCGGAGCCGTAGGTTGCCGACCCCTGCGCTAGACGCTTGGCCCTCTGTCTTACAAGTTGCAAAAACAATGGAGAGAATTGCTTTCGTGAACATTTATATCCTGAATGTGCCAAAGATACAAACAGACAATTATATGGCAATGTTGTATGAATATAAATAAGTATTAGCTTGTCACAGGCTATAACTTGCTGTGCTCTGTTTTCTGCTAAACCTCACTACTGCATTGGTGGTGATAAAGTAATAGCCTTGCAAGGCTAATTTCTCACTTTAACATCATGCTAATCTCTCACATTATCATAGCTACTTCTATGCTAAATTCCTCTGTTGACATGTAAACTCCTTTGTCAAGGCGCTCTGCTCCTCCCACCCAGCTTAAATACGCTGCCAAGCTTAGCAGTGTTCATTGGAGCGCTGTCTTTTCCAAAAGCTCTGTTTATTTACCTGAGGACGACTGCTTGCGTTGTGGCCGAAACGTCGTGAGAATTTCTTTTTATTATTTTATTATTTCCCTTCTACGTGACTTTACCGAAAGAACCAAGAAGATGAAAGCCTTGCCAAGGGTCCGATTTGCCACATGAAACAAAATAACATGTCCTTTCGTCTTCCTTTCAGCTTTCTAAACCATTGTTTTCAACAGGTGTTTTCTTCAGACAGGGGTGCTCTCCGGTTCGATTTTTACTCTTTTGAGTCTTATCAGCAGTGGCCTTATAAAATGTTGCTGGGTTTTCTGATGTTGTAGGCAAGAGTCCCCTCCGGTAGCACGCAGCAAAAGTACACGAACATTTATTGCCCCGCTGTGTTCTCATCCATCCGATAATGTGGATTCTGTTAGCTCCACGATACGTGCATTGGATTGTGTATGAATCTGTGCTTTTCGTTTCGTACTGGGTGGGTCGCGAATCCGTTCTTGTGACCCCTGCAGAGCTTTAATTCTAGATTTGAAGCTTTCGTGACTGGTGGGACCGTCACAGCCAGATTTGATGCAGCAAATCTGGCTGTGACGGTCCCACCTGATAAGGAGGCTTGTGTTGCCTCCGAAACGTCGTGATTTTATTGTTTTATTTTTATTAATTTTAATTTCATTTTTTACCTATGTGACTTTACCGAAAGAACTAAGAGTATGAATCCCTGCAGAGCTACCGGAGGCTGCCGTTATAATTAATCACAACGTAAACAAAACGATTGATACGTGAACCGTGCGCACGACCCTTTGATTGTGACGATTCGTCAAATAATTGAGCATAATTTACCGTCTTTTGAACATCAAATCGGTTTGAGGAGTGGATGGTTGATATGTGCGACTAAAAAAAAATGCAAGCGAGAACAAGTATTGCAAATATAATCAAAGAATTATGAGCCAGGGATGCAGATGCTTTCATTGGTAGGCACGGTGGGTGGGGGGTTTGTGTATGGGGGGGGGAGTAAATAATGTAGATGTATAGCCAGTAGAGGGGGCATGTCAGCACTTTAACGGTTACCATCATTATCTGTGACGATGTGTGAACGGGAATGAAAAGCACTAATTCTCTGGCCTCTCTATTTCATCGCTATGAAGAAAGGGCCATTTTCCATAAATGTCCCCTTGTTTATGTACTTTCCTTTAAAGCAGTGTTATCGATGAACGTGTTGAATTGTTGTGGTACTTAAGCAGAAGAAGAACGTGTGATCGTATCTGTTTAGACTACATGATACAGAACATTACGTGAAAGCATCAGTTCATCGGATAAAATAGTACGAGTAAGAATATTTATATCTCTATCCATCAGTACATTAACTAATTGTATCACTGTCAATTGACTGAAACGTGACACTGAATAATTGCATCCCAACTGCGTATAATTTATTGGTTAGAATTAGGTTCGTTAAACAGTCGTTGAACCAGTAATCATTTACCAATTCTTAAAGCCAAGAATTTAGTGATTCCAGTGGAATTTTACTAACAAGTGCACTGTTCGGAATGCACGAAACAAACAAATATCACAGCACACGCAAATCTCATTCGGGGTCTGTCGCAGCTATCGTAAAGCACCAGCGGGCAGGCCTGAGCCATTGCGTGCTATATTTGCCCTTGTTTCTCAGTTAAAAGGTAAAACTGCAGCCATGCGATTTCTTGCTCGCATCGCTGCCGATGGACGGGCCTCAAGTAGAGGGGGCGTTCGAGAAGGTGTTTGGCTTACTCTTGCACGCTGGCCAGACAGGGCGGAAGACCTGGGCTAACCGCCACACTTTTACACTTTTATACCAGCGCACCCGACCGGCTGATAGACTTCAATGTCGTGCACCCATTCGTACTGCTTGGTGGACGTAGGCGCGCCTGGATTTAAGACATCTCCCGCTTTTGTTTCAACTGCAATATTTTGCTGTCTTTTCTTGGATTTTCTGTTTGCACTTAGTTACATATTCACTTTGAGATGTTTTCTTGTTCATGTTTTAGTTTTTTTGTTTGTTGCGGTTGCACCCGATTCAAGAGCCGAATGGCTCACAGGGCTATACCTAATAAATGAACCTGAACTGCCGTGCCATCCATTGGTCATGGCCATTACCAACACAACAGATCACTTTGTTTCTCACTTAAGCTAAACATTTTCAGCTGATTGCGAGACCATTTCTACATGTGTGTGACACAACCAATTTTTTGAAACAACAAGATCTATTTTTTTAACCTCGTTAACATACGCACGTTGGCGGGGTGGAATTGGCATGCTGTGTTGCGGTTGAGTGAAACATTTCTGGCAATGTCTCACTGGCTGAATATCTCTTAGCAAGCTCCATTAAATTTTGATTTAAAGCTTTCGTGACTGCAGGGATTCATATTCTTGGTTCTTTCGGTAAAGTCACGTCGAAAGAACCAAGAATATAAGCTCCATTAAATCTTACTCTTGTTGAATGGAACAGCAGGAGTTTCTGAGCTGTGGTTGCCTGCCACAGTGATTATGAACTTCTTTCGCACCGTACGTAGCCAACCGTGCTTATCTATGGGTGTCTATGGGTCTGGGTGTCTATGGGTCTCTGTGGTTGCATGGATGTTGAAGTTCTTTCGCACCGTACGTAGCCAACCGTGCTTATCTATGGGTGTCTATGGGTCTGGGTGTCTATGGGTCTCTGTGGTTGC